ATATGGTGGAAAATTAGTGGTTTTGTGGGACAAGTATTTACCTTTTAGTGGCTATCAGAATAAGAAGATTTGGTGTGCGGTGATTACTCTTGAAAGACGCAGCATTCTGGAGATGTGGGGTAACGTCGAGTGGCTTGATGCGGTGCTTACTGTCCCTAAGTCTTATAAGTTCGTGTGTGCTCTTTCTTCTACTTTTTGATGAACTGACACTAATATATAGTGAATCTTGAGTAGTGTTGGTAGAAGGAATAGTTTAGTTTGCATCGGCTGCGAGTCAGCGAATGTTTTAGCTTAGCTTGTTTTGTGTTCGCTGAAACTGGAATCAAAGTCGTAGTGTTTTGAACTTTTGGTTGAATAAAAGGGTTCTCTTCACATTGACAGAAAAATCTGTAACAAGATGCACTAATGAAGAGAGAGTTTGGTCGTGTAGTGAACATAACTCTCTGTGGCTAGTCCCTTTAACTCTTTGCTTGCTTATTTCTTACAATCTTATAAGTTATAACGATTATAAAGCTATGATATAATGTAGTCTCATTCAAATATATTCATCTTCAGACTGAGACATTCCATGGTCGCATTCCAACAATTCACATTATATATCCCTGATGAGTCGAAAAATCACTATGTCTTATAACTGATTGCTTTGGGTTAAACAATAACTTAGTGGTACAAAGAGAGTTAGTGCCTCAATCTAGAAAATGCAATCAAACGAAACATTCATACCAAATGATCCGAGTTGCAGATTGTCTATATCCATGATGAGCAGAAAAAATCACCAATTATTGTTGATGTGTCTTATAATTACTTTTGTAAGCCCATTAAGATAAAACTAGGGCCCATAATTAAATTAGGGGGTCGAACTAGTTTTAAAACCCTTGATTGGTTCTATGGAGACAGAGAAGAAGTAGAAGAATTTTCGGAGTTCGATTCGACGGCGATAATTCCGACAATGCCTTACCCGGCGAATAAGAAGAGGAAGAATACGATTACAGCGACGAAGAAGCCGTCGCTTACGCTGGAATCGACCCAAAATCTGTCTTTTCCCGATGATTCGCTAGTGACTTGTTTCGCACGCATATAGATGATGTACTAGTTTACTCTACCTCTATAGATCAACATATTCATCATCTAAACACACTTTTAAACATAATAAAAAAACACGATTTAGTCGTCTCAGCAAAGAAAATGTCTTTTTTTCCAAACAAAAATAAGATTTCTAGGACATAACATATATCAAGGAACTATAACTCCCATATCAATATCAATAGAATTTGTTAATAAATTTCCTGACGAATTACGAGCATTTTCTGCAACCTTCTCCCTCTAAAAAATCTTCTCTCTACAAAGCTTCAAAACATTTTCTTTAAGTTTTATAAAATTGTAATTTTAATCATTTACTTCAAAATTTTGTATTTACTTCAAAATAAATAAAAATCAAAAGTTTTAATCACTTACGTTTTTCAAAACTTTATATCAAAATTTTTCTTTCAAATGTAAATATTGCGTGATTGGGAATGTCCTTTACTATTACAATGATGGAATGTTCAAATGGTATGACACGAATGTAAGAGTGTGGAGAAATGTGATGGGTGTGAAAGGATTGCCTAAGTTTCCGCGTTATATTGCTAAATTGGCTGATTACGGTGGAAAGATGGCTGTTTTGTGGTACAGGAATGTGCCTTCGAGTGGATTTAAGAAGAGGACGATTTGGTGCGCAGTGATTGCGCTTGAAAGACGCAACAACGATGAAGAGATGTGGGGGGAGGTTGAGTGGTATGATGCAGTGCTTACTGTCCCCGAGTCATGTAGGATAGAGTATGCTCTTTCTGCTACCGTTTGATGAATGACATACATGTAGTAGAACAGACTTGAATGTTGTCAAATCTTTTCTTGGATGATTCTGTCTTTTGTTTCTAGCTAAATGTGTTAGTCATGATTTCACTCGTAACCCTTTGATTTGATGGTTAGCTTATTTTGTGTTGCTAAAATAGATTAGTCTCTGTTTTTGATTTAATTGATGTTCTCTGTTTTTATGGGAGCAATTAGAGTAAACTAATCCCATAATGTATTTCTAAGAATTGAATTCACGCATGTATTCACTTCATGGCCAACAAAATACAGTAATCAAATATTGCAGCTACAGTAGTCAAATGTGGGCCTCAAATTTACGTTTCTAGGCCCATCCATAATTGAATTATCCATCAGTTTGTGCCTTGTGGAATATTCGTTTTTCACGAAGCGAGCAACTCTCAAGTAAAGTCGAAAACCCTAAATTTTGTTCTCTGCTAATTACTCCAATGTCTTCTTTAGAGAAACCGTCTCGTATGAGGAAGACCAACGAGCTGTCTCCGGTGCTCGTACCGTCGCCGGAATCGACTCCAAATCCATCACTTCCTAATGATTTGCTTGTAAGACTCTTCGCACGCATATCTAGATTGTAGTATCCTAGTCTCTCGCTCGTCTCCAAGAGCTTTGGATCCCTCCTTGCTTCACCGGAGCTTTACCAGACCCGATCCTATTTAGGCAACACCGAGACTTGTCTCTATGTCTGCTTAAAGTTCCCTCCTGACCGTAACCCTCGCTGGTACACTCTCAGCCTGAAACCTAATCAAACCGTAACCAACGACACTAGTACGAATAAGAGGAAACCGTGTGGTTATGTTTTGTCAGCAATCCAAGTTCCACATTCTCCTCCTGCGCATTGGTCTAGTCTAGTGTCAATTGGTTCAAACATCTACAAAGTTGGCGGACCAATCGAGGACAATGAGCCATCGTCTAGAGTCTTGATCTTGGATTGTCGGTCTCAAACGTGGCTCGAAGCTCCAAGAATGCAAGTAGAGCGGAGTTACCCAGCGGCTAATGTCGTTGATGGAAAGATATATGTAGCAGGAGGACGCAAAGACTGCAATGCCTCCAATTGGATGGAAGTTTCGATCCGAAAACGCAGGAGAAGTTGTTTTGTGGGACGAGACTGTGCTTTCAAGTACTACTGGATGTAAGGAGAAGTTGATTTGGTGTGCGGTGATAGCGCTTGAAAGGCGCAACGTTAAAGAGATTCAGGGGGAGGTCGAATGGTATGATGCAGTGCTTACCGTCCATGAGTCATGTAGTGAAAAACAATGTTATGAATCGTTTGTGTTCTTGCTTTTACTGTTTAGAGATATTTTCAAGTTAATCACTCGTTTCTTTTTGCATTTGTAAAACCTTTACTTTGAATTTTGAACCGTGTTGAGATTTTTAGTGATTCAATGAATAAAGGTTGCAGAAATATTTTGTCTCTTTCACCGTTTTGTTATGAAAATCTCACCATAAGGCCCATCTTATTATTTGTTTTGAGGCCCATTAAGAAAAGGATTAAATACAGAGGCGGTAAAGTTGTTAT